TCACCCGCCTCCATCCTCACCTTTTTCTGTCCCCCAGATGCCGTGGCCTGCGTGGACCCCGAGGAATGCACCCGTGTGTGCGGGGCCGCCGTGGGCTGCTCCAACATCGCCTACCCCAAGCTGGTGGTGGAGCTGATGCCCAGCGGTAGGTCGTGACCTCGTTCCCAAGGGTTTTTGCCCACGCAGCCCCTTCCCCAGTGACCCCAACAGCAAAGCCAGGGGATGGGGGTGGTCCCGGTGCCACAGGGTGGAGCTGGGCGTCCCCGAACCCCATCTGTGGATGCGCAGAGGGGATGGTTGGGGCCGTCCATCCTGCTGTCCCCAGACACAGGCTGATGTTCCCTCCTTCCACAGGGCTGCGGGGTCTGATGATCGCGGTGATGATGGCTGCGCTCATGTCCTCCCTCACCTCCATATTCAACAGCAGCAGCACCCTCTTCACCATGGACATCTGGAGGAGGCTGAGGCCGGGGGCCGGCGAGAAGGAGCTGCTCTTGGTGGGCAGGTAGGGACCCAGGGTTTCGGGGACACCAAGGGTTTTGGGGACACCCAGGCTTTCGGGGAGACCGGCAGGGCCAGTCCAGCCCTCTGTGATCTGCCTTTGTGTCTGGGAGGCTGCGCTCAGCCCGGCTGCGAGACCCTGTGGTGGCGGAAGGAAAACAAAACCCTCGCATTATTTTATGGATGGAAGCGCTGGAGACGCAGATGGGGCTCACGGAGCGTTTGGAAGGGCTGAGTTGTGCCCTCAAAACGAGCTCGGAGGGGCCAGGCTCAGCCACTGCCCCACGTCACCGGGTGGCCCTGGGTGGCACAAGCCTGGGGTGCCCCTGGGGGGTGTCGGGTCCTGGCCCCCAGCCCGGTGCCGGGGGGTGCCCGGGGCCGTGCAGCCGCCCGCGGTGCCGTGCTCGGGGCAGCACACTCAGCGCCGGGGCATGCCCAGCACGGGGCTTGCTGAGCAGGAGGCAATGACAAGGAGGAAATCTGGGTCAGGGCTTCGGCTGGGCTGGGGCTTTCGGGAGGGTTTGCCGGCCCTGATTGTGTGGTGATGTGAGACAGGAGGCTGTGGGAGGGTGATTTTTGGCACCCCCCCACCCCAACATCTCCGGGGGTGGGGAGGTGTCAAGCCGCCTGCAGCGGCACGGCTGCCCGGGTGGGCGCAGGAACTGGTGGTTGTGCCCATAAAGGTGGGTAAAATAACCATAAAGGTGGGGGCTTTGGGGAGGGTGGCTGATGGATGTCTGCAATGGGCTTCACAGGAGCCAAGGGTTCTCCCAGGATTACTCCAAATTTCTCCAGCCATTTTCCCAGTTTTTCCCTGCAGTTCGGAACAGCACCGGGACAGGCACGTCTATAAACAGTGCCCGTACTTCCACAGGAGCCCGGAAATAATTTCACAGGTGCTCAAGAAACAGCTGAGCACTGGCTGTGGATACAGCAAACGAGAAATCTTCCGGGGAGGAAAAAATGCTGCTTGAGCTCCAAGGGCCAGCGCGGGGACACAAGGCTTGGGGTGGTTCCCGAGCAGCCCCGGTCCAACCCCTCAGCATCCTCATGCCGGGCATGTCCTGTCCAGCTCCACGCAGAAGAAAAAGGGATTTGCTCATCCTCTGCTTGCTCAGCAGCGAGGCGAGGCCGGGGAAACAATGCCCCGCGTCCTGCGAGCCGAGGGGCGGCCGCCCAGCACCACGCCGGGGCCGCTGCCTGCGCCGTGATTCATCGCGGGCGTTCGGCTCTTTCACAACGGGTTTGCCGTAATCACGGCACCCATGGGTGCCCTGTCGCCTCCCCGGGGAAGAGCTGCCCCTGTTCAGGGCTGATCTTGAGCTCGAAGGGGCTTTTTTCAGCCAGGGAAGGCTCCGGTGCAGGAGCGATGGCTGGGAGCAGGGTGCCCGTGGTGTTCCCAGCAGGGCAGGGAGCTCTGAGCCATCCCTCCCCTGCGGTGTGGCCTGAGGGGCTGGGAGGGCTCCCTGCTCCCTGGATCTGGGGATTTTTGCTCACACACAGCAGTGTCACCCAGCTGGAAATCCCCACTCACGTTTTCTGCTCGCTCTTTGACCGGGAGATGGCACGGTGGCGAGGATGGAGACGAGGCAGGGGGAGGTGGGATGGAGAAACCCTCCCTGCAGCAAGGGCACCCTGCTGTGGGCCAGCCCCCGAGCTCCCACACCTGCATCTTTCCCATGACCTCCCAGCATCATCTGTGGGTTAGAGAAACCCCAAACATGGGGTTTTTTCTTCCACCCCGTGGGTCAGGGAGAGTGTTTTGTACTCAGGTTGCTTCCTCTTTCCGGAGAGGCAGATGGGCGGTAGCAGAGAGCGGCTGTGTCTAGAGAGATGCATTCGTTGCTTTCTTTTTCTTTCTTTGTATTTTTATTTTTGAATACTTCTGCTTTTTGAGCCGAGCAGATGGAGCTTTAGGTAATGCTGTGAAGCTGTGCACCGTAAACAAGCGGGGCTGAGCTATAAATACAGCGGCACCGAGCTGTGCCACGGAGCTGCTCTCCAGCCTGCTCCGGGTACCGAGCGCTCGGCGCAGCTCCTGGCTCCCCCTGCCCTTTGCTGAGCTGCCTGAGCCGTGCATGGTTGGTTTTGGGGCTTTTTCCTGCTCAGACCGGGCCCAAAAATCTGGGGTTTGGCCAATGCCTCCGTGTTTCTGATTAAAGCAAGGCAGCGGGGTGCAGCTGGGACCGGGGCGAGGATGGGGACGCTTGGGGACACCTCAGCTTTGCCTGGGTGTGGAGGTGATGAGAGCATCACCTGCAGAGCCCAAATCTGGCCAAAGCACCCACGGCTGGGGGCTTTTCAGAGCAAAAATGCCCTTTGCTTGGTGTTTCCCCACGGGGGGTGCAAATTATCAACCCCCCGGGCTTGGGGCGAGGGGTGTTGGGACCAGTCACCTGCCCGGTGCTGCGGGATGGAGCCGGCACTGGGGCAATTACTGCGGCGCCTCGTGCAACTTTCATGAGCTTGGGGACTGCAGGATTAAGGCTTTGCGTCCCAGGTGACATTTCCAGAAGTGCCTGCGGGATGTGCAAGGCTCCATCCGGAGCCCCAAGGGGCGAGCTGACCCCGTGGCTGGGGTCGTCCCCAGCGGGACCGTGCCCAAATGGTGGCACCCTGCCCTCGTCCTCCCCCCTCCGGGGAAGGCTGCGGCACCCAGCTCCTCCTGCAGCCGGTGGGCAGGGAGGGAAGGATTTGGGGAGGGCTCCAGGAGCACGGCAGTGACATGAAACAGCCTCAGCCCCGGGCACGTCTGACCTGAGCGCAGACAAAGCCTCGCAGCGTCTGGCAGCCGCGTTCTCACCGCGACGGGTGAGAAACCACACGGGGCAGGAGCATCCTGGGCATCGCATCCTCCCGCTGCCCTCGGGGGGGTAAAACCTGCCTGCATCCCCCAGCCAGCTCTTCTGCACCACCCTCTGCTGCGGGGCACCCCGGGGGAGATATCCCATTGGGGTGTCCGGTGGTGGCACGGGTGTCACCGCTTGTCCCTCGCAGGGTGGTGACGGTGGTGCTGGTGGTCCTCAGCGTGGTCTGGCTCCCCATCCTGCAGAGCTCCAGCGGTGGCCAGCTCTACGTCTACATCCAGGCTGTCACCAGCTCCCTGGCTCCTCCTGTCACCGCCGTGTTCGTCCTGGCCGTCTTCTGGCCCCGCGCTAACGAGCAGGTTGGGGACAGCCCGGGGACAGGGGGGGGTGACATGGGGAAACGCCTCCCTGCCCGGGAACTGGGGAGGTGGTGCTGGAGGGGGGGGAGAGGAACATGCAAAAGCCCCGAAGTGGCGTTTCTGGGGGCTGTGGTGAGGAGGAAGAAGAGGAGGAGGAGGAGGAAGGTGCTGCCATGCATGGCCACCCATGGCAGGGGACATCCCCTACAGAGTGGGCGCAGCTTTGGGTCAGGGTTCAGCTGGCTGGTGTGCTTGGGGTCGCCCTTTTCAACGTCTGTCCCATGGGGTCATCCCCACCAGGGTTTTTGTCCCCTGCTGGGGTGATTGTCCCCCTCCTGCTGTCCCCCTGTGACCTTCGCTTTGCAGGGAGCTTTCTGGGGCTTGATGGCGGGGCTGGCGCTGGGGCTGGCCAGGATGGGGCTGGAGCTGGCGTACCCCACACCCCGCTGCGGGGTCCCCGACCCCCGGCCCTGGCTGCTGGCCGACCTGCACTACCTGCACTTCGCCGTGCTGCTGTGTGCTGCCACGGGAGCCGTCGTGGTGGGGGGCAGCCTGCTGACCCCCCCGCCGCCCCCAAACAGGGTGAGCAGCGCACGCGGGCACCCAGGACCCTTCACCCCAAACCCCCTTTGGCTGGAGACACCGGTGGCACCTGGGGCTGTGCCCTGAGCTCGGTTGGGGGGGGTCCTGGGGGTTTTTCTCACCAAATTTCACCCGGTTCCAGCTGCGGGATCTCACCTGGTGGAGCCTGCCGTGGAAGCCCCCCCAGCCCTCTGTGGGTGGCACACCCCAGGGACCCCGGGATGGTGAGTGTGCCCTCGGGGGTATCCCACCCGGGTGGCATCCCCGGTGCCCCCACGGCGCCGTGCCTCAGTTTCCCCGTGGTCCCCTGTCCCCACGCTCCCCGTCTCTCCGTGCCAGGCCCCTGCTCAGCCACCCCGGCCCTGAGGGACACCACGGAGCCCCCCGTCTGGGCCCGGGTCTGCAACGTCAACGCCGTCGTCCTGATGTGCATCAATATTTTCTGCTACGCCTATTTCGCCTAGCAGCCCCCCAGGAGGGAGGGGAATGGGGGGAGAAAAGGGGATTTGGGTGATGTTTTTTGTCAGGCGTGGGATGTGGGAAGCTTAAATCCACTGGTGCAACGAGCTGGGTGTCCCAGGGGACCGTGAGGTTTGGGGGTAGGAGAGTGGGGGGCTGCTGTGCATGGGGGCAGTGAGACCCCGAGGAGAGGTTTTGGGGTGGGCAAATGGGCAGAAAAAAAGAAAAAAAGAGCAGGCGAAGCGCAAAATCCACGAAGCAGCAGCTGCGAGAAGGAGGTCGCACAGGAGGGTTTCATCCAAACACACTTTACTAGCTCTAAATAAAATATTAAAAAGCCACACTTTGCAGCTACAAACGGCACCAGCAGGACTGAATTCCTCCGGGGCAGCCAGTCCTGGCACCCTGCACAGCGTTACCCAGCCTGGCCACATCCTGGGCATTTTCCAGCTGCCTGCAGCTCTCCGGGGAGCAGGGGCTTCGAAAGGTCCTGGCGAGGAGCTGCCAAACACCACGGCCCCAGCAAGAAACCAGCCTGGGCTGGGCCTGCCGTGGTGTTTCCCATTTACTGGGCACGGGACTGCGGTGGTGGAGGCTGCGAGCTGGGCTCCTGCTGCTCCCCTCGGCAGCTCCGGAGAAGTTTTTACGCCTTTTTCATTTCAAAATGATTTTTTTTGGCCCTACGCTTCCTCCCGCCGGGTTATTTTTCGGCACCGGGAGCTGGGCAGCCTCGGGGTGGAAGCTTGGCCAGCCTGGCCTCCACCCCGGCACGGCCTCCGTGGGAGGACCCTCGCTGGGATCTGCAGTCCACGCGGCACGGGGACGGTGTGGGGACAACGTGGGGACGTGGGGGCCACGTGCACGGTGCAGAGCGGGGCTTTTGGGCAGCTCACTTGCGCAGGGGGTGGACGTAGTTGCGGGGGAAGAGGCCGACGCGCCCGTAAATCTTCCCCTGCCACCAGTTGGGGTCGGGGCAGTCCAGCACCTCGATGATGTCCCCGCGGTAGAAGGGCAGCTGGGAGCTGTCGTGGGCCGAGAAGTCGAACTGGGCTTGCACGAATTTGGGTCTCCTCACCTGGAGGGAAGGAAGTCCAAGGCAGGTCAGTGGTGGGGACGGGAGGCCCCCGGCTGCCGGCAGCTCCCCTGGCCCCAAAGTGGGGGGGACACCGTGGCACCGTGCAGTGAGGACTGGATTACAAGGGGGCTTGGGCACCTGCTTTGAAGATTAGGGCTGGGAATGGAGCAAATCCTGCCATGGGGAGAGGCAGGGAGACCCGGGGTGCAGGGGAGGACCCCAGGGTGCAGTGCCCCTGTTCCCGCTGCCAGCAGAGCCCCCTGGGCACCCTGCCCCTCGGAGGCACCCATCTCCCCCCTAACCCAGCTCCCAGCACCCCGTTTCACCTCCACAATCACTACCCCAGGGCACAGCTTTGCGGGTACCGGGCTCTCCTGGGTGTCACCTCCATCCTGAGCCCCCTGTCCGCTGCCCCTGCCCCGCTCCACGCCACCTCTTGGCCCCACAGCCCCCCCAGTGGCACCTCTGGGCTCTGGTCGTCGTCCCGCAGGAAGATCTGCTGCTTCTTGGCGATGGTGGTGGTCCTGTAGAAGTCCACCAGCTCGTTGAGGGAGTTGAACTTCTCCTCCCAGAGGAAATACTTGCCGTTGCGCTCCCGGAGCACCTTGAAATGCTGGACGTGCTGCCCGTAGCTGCGGATGGAGCACGGATGTGACCCCAGGCACCCAAACCCCTTCCAGCATCGCCTGCAGAGCCCAGGGGCTGCTTGGGGGGGTCCTGCTACCCCCATCCTGTCCTGGCTGGGGGTGGCGGTGGTATTTGGGGCCTGAACACCCACAGGGGACAAGTAGGAGAGCGGGGTGGCCATAGGTTTGGGTGCTGGTGAGCCTCGAGAGACCCCAAATCCCCGGAGGATGGAGCAGGCTGGGTTTTCCCCCGTTGTCCCCATGTGCTGGCACCTCCTCGGGGTGTCCCCGGGGTTGGCAGCTTGGGGTCCCTGTGCTGTGGGGCTGGCACGGGGCTGCTGCATGTCCCCACTGCTGCCAGCGCCCCGGGCAGGGGCAGGGACTGGGCCACGCTGGTGACGCAGGGCAGAGCGCGGCTCCCTTTCATTATGGGCAAGAACCTCCTTAAATGCTTAATTAGAGATTAGCAGCGTGAGAAAGTGCCTGGCTGGCCTGGGGCCGGCTCCTGCACCCTGGCCCTGGGCAGGGAAGGGGCAGCAATAGGGCGAGAGCCCCCGGGGCAGGCTCTGCCTGTTGGCACACCTCCTTGCAGCCCTGGTTGCCGATGCCAAAAATCCTCGGCCCCGCGGCACCGGGATGCTGGGGCACTGGATGTGTCCCCTGGGTGATGCTCTGGGCGAGTTGTTCCTGCAGGCTGTGTGCTCGCAGCTTGGACCCAGCCCCGTAGCTACCTGCCTGGCTGTTTTGGGGGCACCCCAACCTGCAGACGGGGGTGAAGCAGCTCCGTGGCCCATCGCAGGAAACCGCAGGGGACGGAGGCGGAGCGGCGGCGCTGCGGGTGGGAGGAAGGGGAGGAAGGGGAGGAAGGGGAGGAAGGCCTGTGCTCAGCACCCTGCTGCCTAACGCATCCCCTTCTGCACCAGGGCAGCCTCCCACCTTCAGCTCCTGGTCCCCAAAATGGGGCTGGGGGCTCCCCACCCCCCTGCACCCCGCGGGCACTCACTTGACGGAGACGGAGAACTCCCCCGGGGCGCTCTCGCTCTCGCGGATGAGGAAGGCGCCCAGGTATTTGCGCTTGAGGAGCAGCTCCTCCGCCAGGTGCCGGGAGATCCTGCCCGCGTACCACCTGTAAAAAGCACCCGGCTCAGCACCACCGACCCCATAAATGCCCCGGGGCCGAATCCCCACCCCGCAGGATGAGGGCACTGAGAGCTGCGTGCCCGGGGGAGCCCAAGTGGGAGCTCCCCATCCCGTTCCTGGTCTCCCCGCGGGGCTGCACCCACCCGCTGAGGTTTTCCCCTTCCCTTTTACCACCCTGACGTGATCGGGGACCACGCTGCTTTGGCAGGGAAGACCCCAGGGTTCTGCAAGCACCAGAGTGCCCTCGTGTCCTGCATCGGCCCTACAAGGACACCACTGCAGCCACCACATCCTGTCCCTGCCTCGTCCCCCGCCGTGCCACGGGCCCCCCTTTCCCCCTCCACAACTCACAGCCCGAGGTAGGAACAGCCCTGCGGGGTGTTCAGGGGGGATCTGCAGAGCAGAAACCCCTACGTGCTGCGGGGTGAAGCCACCAAAACGAGCCGGAGGAGCAGGGGAGATGGGAGAGTCCCCCGGCTCCATCACCGCCGAGGCTGCCCCCGAATATTCGGGGGCAGCAGAGCCTCTGCTGTGTGTTAAAACCACCGGGGAGCTGACAGCCTTTGGGGTTTAGCACCGAGCATCACCCAGCCCCAGCCTGCAGGAGGCCAGGTCCCACCCAGCCCGGCTCGTTCCCCGAGCACCCAGCGCCCGCCCCGGGCTGCCCCCAGCCCACGCTCCTGCTCCCCAGCCGCAGCCCCGAGCAGATTTCGCTCCGGCATTTAAATGTGATTTACCAGGGGATAATGATACATAAAACACAGGTTAAAACAGGGATAAATTATGCCGGGCTTTAATAAGACGGTAATAGGATTGTGTCTAATGCAGTTGTAATCCCATAATACTTTGTTGTTCCCCGATTATCATTTATTTAGCGGGCAGCCCGGCGCGAGGACGAATTTCTGTGTGTCTGGGGTACGTGGGTGTGCCACCACCTTTGGTGGCGAGGGCAAAAGGATCGCCCAGCGTTGCCACCCATCACTCCGTGGCTCAGTTTCCCCATGTGCGGGGCTACCCCGGCTTGTGGCCAAAATTTGGGCACCGGGACCCACGGCTGGGATCGGTGCTGGGGTGGTACTTACGGGTGGGGCTTGATCTTGATGTAGTTTTTGGGGACGAAGCCCTCGCAGCCGTACAGCTCGGCCTTGTACCAGTTCTGGTCATCTTCCATGTTGAGGATCTGGGGAGGGAGAGGAGCGGAGAGGCATCAGCCTGGCCAAAATCCCCGATGCGGATCCTGGCCCCCCCATGGGTCAGCTGTCCCGTGACACCCCCAAAATCCGGGGCTCTGACCAAGGCTCAGATATTTTGCCCAAGACACGGTGTGGGGTTTGGGGTTTGGCTCATCACTGGGCTGCCTGGCATCACCCCAAACCCCCAGCCAGGGAAAAGGGGTAAAACCCACCCCCAGAGCAGCCAGCCCCGTGTCCCCTGGGGGCGATGGCAGCGTGGAAGGATGCGTCCCGGTGCGAGGAGGAGGGCTGTGACACCCGTTTGAGCGCGACACCATTTTCCAGCCTCCCACGCAGGGGCCCGGGGCGGCTGCACAGCTGTGCAAACAGGATCCGAAACCCTACAGGGCTGCGGGGAAAACACGCCGGGGAGGCAGGGCCGGGGGATGCGTGCGGCAGCTTCGGGGCCCCGGGTGATGGCTGTGCCCTCGCTGTCCCCGGGGGCTGGTGCTGCTGCATGGCCGGGGGTGCTGCAGGGTGCTGGGGGCCAGGAGCAGCCCCATGGAGAGGGGTCGGTGGTGTGGTGCAGGAATCCTTGTTCCCATAAGTGGGGCTGCGGTGTCTGGGGGTGTTTTGAGGCTCCCCGAAGGTTTTTTGGCAGCTGAGCCCACCCCAAAGACAAGCACCCGGGTGTTTGGGGCTCTTGATGTTGTTGTGGAGAAGGGGAAAAATGTGTTTCAGCCCCAAAACAGAGCTCGGATGGTGTGCCACCGATGCCCCAATGGCCGGGGAGGCTGCGTGCCGCGTCCCAGCCAGGATCTCTCTGGAGATGTCCCCGGTGGCACGGACGAGCAGTACCCTCCGCTGCTGGGGATGCTGCTCTGCACCCCAAAACCCCAAAGAACAGCTCCATCTCCCCATGTAAAGCCCCAAAGAGGCGACAAAGCACCGGCGTTACCCTACGTACCCTCTCCATCCCCCCCCAACCACCAAACCCCCGGTACCTTCAGCGTGTCCCCTTTCCGGAAGGGCAGCTCATCCTTCTCCGTCGCCTGGAAGTTGTACAGGGCCACCGACTCCATCCCGCTGGCTGCCGTGGGGTGCAAACGGGGCCCCCCCGGGGCTGCGTGGGGCTCGCTGCCCCACGGCACGGGGCTGTGGGGCACGGGGCAGGCGCACGGCGCTGCCGGCGGGCAGGAAACCGCGCTGATGTCAGCGCCCCACCGGGGCGAAACGGCGAGCACCACGAGGGATGCTGCCTGCCCGCGGGCACGGCTGCCCAGATGTGCCACCCAGAGGTGCTGCCCAGATGTGGAGGGTCCTGCTCGGGCTGTTTATTGGCACCTGTGGGATTTTGGAAGGAAATCGGATGGCGACGGGCCGGGCGCGTGGGTCGAGGATGTGGGTGAAGCGTGTGAGAGCGGCTGGGGGAGGCTTTGATGTCTCGTAGGGGATGAGCACCCCGGGGCAGCCTGAGGAAGGTGGCTCGGTGGGAACAGGTTCTGAGCAGACGTGGGGATGCAATCGCAGAGGGATGGGCAGAGGAGGAGACAAAGGGGGTGGATGCACACACCTGGTTTCTCTGGAAATCAGACCGAAAACAACGTGCCAGGTGCCAGCCTCCAAGCGGCGAGGTTTCCGCGTGGCTGTTCCTGTCTTTTTGGGGCTGTTTTGGGGGCTGTTTTTTTCCAGCTTCCCTTTTGCAGGAAAAAAAAAAAAAAAATCTATCCCTTTTAGACCAAAATGACTTCCTGCTGCTCTCGTGGGCTGCAGGCACTGTGTGTGCAGGGCTCACACTCAGGGCACCACCGGCGAGGTCGCCGCCACCACAAAACCTTCCCGGCGCATGCGTGGGCCGTGGCACGAAGCGCACAGAAAATCCGCCGGGCTCTGGCTTTGCTGTGCAGGGAGGAATTAACCCGGGGACAGATGTGGCTCGGTCCCTCCTGACGGGTTTGGGCATTTTCCAGCAGGAAGCTGCTGCCATCTGCACGGGGAGGGACGCGCCGCAGTGCTCGGTGTCCATGGGAAGGGGACAGGGATGAGCGGGGTGGCCCTGGGTGTCCCCGCAGCTGGTGGTGCCCCGGTCCTTGGCCATTATCCCCAGCATGGTCCCAGGGGAAGAGGAGAGGCTGGGAAGGCCGGGGGGGCCGTGGGAACTGGGTGTGTGTGCTCGCTGTCACGAGGAGGACGGGATGTGGCGAGGCCCCGCGGTCACCGCAGCCCAGCCGGACCCAGGGGACGGGGCTGGGGCTCAGCTGTGGGGTGAGAGTCCCGTCCCTACAGCCCTCAGGGCTGGGTGGTGTCTGGAGAAACCACCCCACAGAGCCAGCCAGAGGGGCGATGAGCCCACGTGCAGGAGGATTTGGACCTTGCCCCTTCTGCCTCTGCTCGCAAAGGGCACGGGGTGGAGGGGTCGGGGAGAGGTGGGCAGCGGAGGTGTTGGAGAGCTGGGTGGGTTCTCAGCAGCTTTGGGGGCAGAGCGGAGCAGGATGATGGCCCCGATGGGGACATTTTGGGGCCCGGCTTCCTTGGGGTCATGGCTTGGGGTGGCTTGGGGTGTTGGGCACGGGGCTGCGCCACCCTGCGGGGTGACAGAGGGCACCCACGGCCTCGGCGCAGCAGCTGCGCTCAGGACCGGAGCAGGATTGGGTCCTGCCAGCAGATGGCAGCAATATCCAGGGTGACACTGGGGACACTGGGGACACTGGGGACAATGGGGACAGTGCCACACGCCACCCTGCTCCTGCTGGAAGTCGGCAGCCCCTTGGGCATCTCTGCCCTGCCACCGTCCGCACCGCGTCCCCCTCCCCATCCCTCCTTGTTGCTGCCCAGCAGGGACCCTGGGCCCTCCCAGCCCCCAAATCCCCGTGCAGGGGGTGCGATTCCTCTGTTTCCTTCCCATTTGTGGGTCTGGGGCTGTGGGCACATTGGGGGTGTCACCCCATGGGCCATGAGCATCCCGGTACAGCAGAATTGGAGGTGCCTGCTGCCTCCTGGCCTCCAGCTGCCTTCTTCCCTGGGGAAACCCTTCTGCCTTGCCGTGGGCACCCCCAAACCTCTCCGACCCCACTCCTGCCCCATCCCAGAGCCCCCCTGGAGGGATCCTGGACCCCACAGCACCCTGAACCCTGCAGCACTCAGCTCCTGGAGCCAGCAGCTGACTTACCACGGGCCTGAGCCATCCAAAAAACCTCAAACCAAGGTTTTTTTTTTTGTATTTTTTTTCCCTCCCTCTAGTGAGGTTTGGGAGTTGGCTTTTCCCACAAAGCGCGTCCCTTTCGCCCCCGGTGTAAGTGGGATGGGAAATGGGAACCCCACGGGTGGGCGCCTGGGTGTGGGGTCTCATTTTTGGGACTGGTTTTGGGCTGATGGGTGCAAGCAGTACCCGTGCCTGGCTCTGGGGACAGGCACTGCCTCATTTTGTTTTAGGAACGTGGCTGTGATGGACACTCGGTGATGATCACTTGTGGATAGGGTAGATGTTAATGAGTTAACCAGCAGCAGCTGGGGGCCGGGCACCCCCTGGGCCCTACAAAAGGAGGTGGAGACCCCCCAGCTGGGTTTGGGCTCATCAATGGGGGATGCTCTGCACCATGGGGGTGACTCTGGGACCTGCTGCTTTCTTCTTTCTCCTCCCAATCAACCCCGCTCTGCTTTTGGCTGCCTGAGCAGGGTCTTGTCGTGCCAGCTCCAAAAGCTTAAAAAAAGCTTTCTGCTGAACCTGCTGGGTGCTGCTCTGCAAATATCTGATGGTGGCTTCTGAGGTGAGAAACCACCGCGGCACCCAGCCCTCCTGCTTGGTGCTGGGAAGGTGAGCTTCACATAACCATGCTTACTGGGTAGACTGGTGCCATGGCGTGTGCAGGGGCTGGAGTCTCTCTGCTGTGTTTTTGTGGCTCTCCTTGGGAGCACCCCTGGGTTTTTGGGGTTGAGAGCCCAGGATGCTGCTCACTGGGCCAGCACGATGATGGAGGGCTCCTGCTGCTCAATTCCATGGGAGAGAAATCAGAAGGATCCCTTTAGGGTGGGGCTGGGTGTAGGGGGTGTTTGGAAGGCTCCTGGAGGGGGCAGGAGGGCTCCACAGCACGTGAAGGGCTCGTGCCAGGGAAGCCGTGTGCGTGCTCGCATCCTGACACAACCCGCTGCAGGAACAGCTTCTGAGAAGCTCCCCCTCAACGGTGACATCTGTTATTTTTCTGGGATTTAAAAGGATTTAAAAAAAAGCATAAAAAAATGAGAAGCCTTGTGCGTAGGTGAGGGGATGCTGCTGCTGCGGTGACTCAGTGGGGACGTCTGGGCAGCTCTTGTGAATGATGGCTGGCAGAGGGGTGGCTGCGCCCTCGCTGGGAGAAGCAGCCCAATTTCGGTTCCTCCTTAGGGCTGGCTTGTTAACAAAGAAGTTATTAATAACCAATTAAGCCCGAGCTCACGTCACGCCTTCCTCTGGAAGCGCGGCAAGAGCCTCTGCGGTTCCTCCTTCGGCACCGTACCCACTGCATGTGTGGGGGCTGGATTTGGGGGGTTCCCGTGGGGCTGTGCAGGGGGAACACGTTCAGGGGGTGTCCTCTGGGTGCAGGAGGACAGGGGTGGGGGTGACCTCTGCTGCTGGGGTGGCTCGGGGCTTATTTTGGGTGGGTGCCTTCTGAGGACATCCTGCAGAGGGTAGTGCTGCTTGGAGAGGGGTTTGGCCAGCCCCAGGGGCGAAAATGGGGGTGCTGGGGCCATTTGGGGTGCCCGGAGGGAGGAGGATGTGTGTGTGGCCGTGTCCCTGGGCAGCGGGGAGGCTGCTGGAGGGGTGCCCACCGGGATAATTCACCGGGTGCCGGATGCGCTGTAAAAACCGGAGAATCCAGGCTCTGTGCTCCTCCTGAAACCGGCTATTCAGGAGAGGGATGAGGAAGACAAGAGGGAGGAAGCGGAGGGGAGATGCAGCACTGAGGCCTTCTGTCTGGCCGGGGCGGATGCAGGTGCAGCTGCGGATTCCCCGGATGCTCCGGCTGCTCCGCGCCGCCCTTTCCTGCGGGGACAGAGGAGATGCAGGCAGGAGTTGTCATCCCCCCCCCCTCTGGCTCGCATTTCCTCTGATTTATTTTTGCTGCTGCAGCGTCTGGGGCAGCTCCTCCTCTAGTCTGGGCCTCGAGGTGGCAGGTTTGTGGGGGCTCTCTGAGGTCTGATGAAGGGGTGAGCTGTCTCAGGAGGGTTTGTGACCTCTCTCCCCCCCTCCCCAGCTGCCTCTCTTCAGGAAATGTTGAGAGATGAAGGAGTTCTGAAATCTCTGCCCAGCCCATCAGCAGCTTGCTCTGAGATGAGCCAACAGCATTGGAGGCTGTGAGGAGGAGTCCACGCACATGGCAGCGTCAGTCCCCAGCCACACCGGGCCACATAACCACCTTCATTTTTGTAGAAAATCCAGCTAAATAAGGACACCATCGCTGCCTCGTGCCGTTTTCCCAAGCGGTGTTTTCGCCTGTACAAGGCGGGAGGAAAGAGTGAGCAAAGACTGGAGGAGGCCACAATAAAACTGATGGATCCTTCCCTGGGGCTGTGTCAGATGGTGATTTCTGACACATCGGCTGTGGAAATCCAGGGTAATTTCACTGAAGCCTCGCCAGATAGCTGCCTGTGTAAATGAGGCAGGATCTGGCCTGTTTTAAAGGAACACTGCCCAGTGGTTAGCCCTAGGATGCGTGCTTTTGCTGTCTGCTTCTTAGCAAATGCCATGTGCAGCGCTCACACAGGGCAATGCCTCACTTTTAATGGGAAGTTGGGGCACTGCTCTCCCTAGAAATGCTCCTGCAGTGCTGCAAATGACAGCGTTTGCTCCGAAGGAAGAGTTGGTGGGATAGCCAGGATGCAGTGGAGGCGATGGCCCAGGAGCGGTGCAGCTCCAGGGCTTCAGCTCGAGTGCTGTAAGGCACGAGCATCAGCACAGCTGTAAAAACCTTTCCCACTGTAGGTGTACGTACAGCATGTGCATACATTGAGATGCGCATGCAATACCCAGCAAAGTATATGCAAAATAATCTGAGTCTGTGTTTATATAAAGCATTCCCTCCAGCTGGGTGTTCCTTCCAGCTCACCAGGCAGCAAGCTTCTGAAACGCAGCTTTGCTATCTTCCTTCCTTTCTTTTCCCCCTCTCGGTCTGAAAGAGGAACTGGTTTTGCTTTTTGCTGGCTTTGGGGTTTTGCTGGGGAGCCCTGGCTCGCTGACAGTCCTGGTCCTCATGGGCTTTGTGTGTCCTGTTGGCTTGGAGTTTGCCATGAGGCAGCAAGGGATGTGGCGGGGCATCGTGTCTGCACGTTATCTCGGTGCATTAGTGTTGCATGTCACTGTCCCGCTGTGCTGGAGGAAGGTTTGGGAGGTTTCTGGTGAGTGCATCACACCAGGCAGCCCTGTTGGTCCCACCAGCTGCAGGACTGGGATTTCAGCTGCTCCAGACTTCCTTGGAGGAACTGGGGAAGGTCAGGACCAAGCGCACCAGGCACAGAGCTGGTGTCTCTCCTGGGAGACCCTCAAAACCAGTCCAGGCAAGGACTCCAGCCCCGGTGCCTGCTTTTTTTTTTCCCCCCTCTGGGGATTAACCCAAGGTCTGCAGCTCAAGCTGGTGTTTGTTTGCTGCTCCCTCAGCCGGGCTCAGCAATGCAGCCTCCAGTGGCTTGCAGCTGCACTATTCCCGGCTCCCCAGGGCAGTGACATTTACTGCTTCACTAAATCATTTTAGCATGTGTTTAAATCTACCGTGTAGGACAGGCTCTGAACACCCCGGGTGCTGAAGGCTGAAAAAGCATGCCACCTGCCTACAAGGCTTAGATGGCCTCGAGGATGTAAAACATGCCAGTTAATGGAGAGTCTGGGGAAAGGCAGATGGAGACGGAGCTTTTGGGAGCAGCCCAGGACAGCCCTGCTCAGGAGAGCTGAGAGACAGCATGTGAAAGCCGTGCTTCATCCCTGCTTTCAAGCAGGACATATGGGCAGGTCTGATGTGCAGAGCTGTGGGGCAGCATATGGGATGGTAGGAACATCTCTCCTGCTCACAATTAATGATGTCCAGCACTGGTAGTGATCAATAGTTGAATGATGGAGGAAAAATATTGGAAATGGGTGAACAAATATTTCCTTCTGTTCTCCTAAGACCCAGTGGTGTGGAGCTTGGATGTGTCTAAACCAGCTGTGACTTTGTGTATAAGATGAATCTTGAAAGAGGCACCCGAGAATGGCAGCCTCTCAGTCTTTCACCTCCCCCAGGCTCTGATTGTGGTGCAAAATGGGATGTGGTGCCCTGCCCAGAGGGAAGATGCGAGTCTCATATTTCTGTCTCGTGATAACGGAGTGCAAGCAGGAAAAGCTGATGCAGACCCACTCCTTGCAAATGTCTGTAATGAAAAATTGCAAGTGGAACAATAGAGAGCAATGCACACGCAGTGCTCACAGGGAAGCATCTGCCCATTTTTCTCTTGGGAGCCGGACTGGTGGCTTCAGTGGAGGAAATCATTTGTAAAACACAGCCCTTCCTTTCCAAGTGGTTAAGACCCTTCCAAGTATAAGTCGCTTTTAGGTCTTGCTGTGCAGGTGTCAGAGCTGTTCTTCCAGCCCACTGGTGACCCACGGGGGATTTTCAGTAGTGAGGCAGTTCAGGCTGATTTGGCTTTCACTCTTACCAAGCAGGTTATTCAGTTTACGCATCTCTACGAAGGCCATTTTCAGTATTGCTAAAATCTGCTGTGGTTGTAACAGCTTGCACCCCCCTCCAGGCTCATGAAGTGACATGCAAGCGCTGAAAGAGGCGTCTTGAAGGACAGAGGAAGCCTATGGTCTGTAGCAACTTGCTGTGCAGTTATTTTTGCTTGAGGTTGAGCTTGTGGTTTGTGCCCCAGAAGAAACGGGGCCGTGCACAGCCAGTTCCCAGCAGCGCTGGTACTTGCTTCATCCCTTCTCTGATCAGAAATGTTTGACTTCAGAAGGGAGCGGGGTTCCTTTGACTTCCCCTACTGTTCACAAAGTCAGGGAGCACTCTTGTATTTTCTCCACCTCACTCAGGCCTTAAGAATGTGGAAGCTCGTAGGAGTGTTAATTACAGACAATTATAACCTGCTTGGCCAGCTGTCATGCTCAAATGGCTACTGAAACTATCATAGAAGATGCAGGTTGTCCTTACAGGCTCGTCTCAACCAAAGGAGCCTTCTGGTTCAGGGGCTGGCAGAGCAGTTGTCCAGCACGACTGATCCATGGAGCAGCTCAGCCAAATAGTGTTAGGATTGAGTGTGCTCGGAGCATTTTTGCCTGCAGTGTTTGTGCTATGAAGCCCTGATGGCTTGTCACGAATCTCTCCCAGCCCAGCTGGTGGATTTTTAATCTGCTTGTTGATTACACAGGGACCATGTATTTACAGCTCTGCGCTGGTGTTTAGTTTTTGCATTAGGAAATCACCTGGGAAGACCTGTTGGGGATGAGATGCTCTGTGACCGGCCGGCAGTGACAAGCCAGGAGTTGTGACCGTGAATGCAGATGTGAAAGTGGCAACTGGATTTGTGAGCATGGGAACTGAGGAAGTTCAGTTGCAGAAGTGGGAATCAGAAACCTCGAAATGGGGCCAAGTAATTAAGCAACTGCCGGGGTGCTGGGCAAACACAAACGCAATAGACAGCCCTCAGGTTTCATCTGTCAAGGGAAAAGCCACCAGCTTTTCAGCTGTGATGATGGGTGATGGGCATCCAGCTGTAATCCAGGGGCTGAGTAGCTCTGCATTACCAATCTCCTGGTTTAAAAGAGGGAGCTCAAAATGCCTGTGGCTTCCAGTATTCAGCCTGCTCCAGGGGTCCTGTCTTCGCTACTGAGAGCGATGGCATGAAATTTCTGCACTACAAATGAGCACAGATGCAGGAAGCTCCCTGGACCAGCCGATGCCTCAGGTCCATGTCTGAGCACCCCCTTGGTGTGATAACACCGATTTCAATCTTTTTTCCCCCTGATTCACCCCAGGTAAGTGGTAGCTGAATCACTGTGCTTGTCCTCTGGTGGGCAGGACCGTGCTTTGCTCACAGGCCCTGAATTTTTGTGCTTGAATATGAAACTTTTGGACTCCAGTCTTTCTGCCATGGCTATGGCCGCTGCTGAGAGCTTACACCGCTCTTACGGGCTGCCTGCTTGGTTGTGTGTTTTATTTGTCCAAAAAAATGCTCTCCTCCCCACTTCCCTTGTAGCATACGAAGTCTTTTTTCCTATCCATTGAGGTAGAAGCAGCCTAGCTCGCTGTCCCAGCCCACCAGGAGAGGAGACCACTGCCAGGGAAGCGCTGGGAGCCAGCAGCACGGCTCCTGGCAGGGTGTTTTCCCTCAAGGTGAGGAAGATCTGGGAGGAGGGAGGTTAATCTCTCGCCACGTGAGGCCCTTGCACAACAGCACCACTCATCCTGCAGTCGGCCTGCTATTACGAGGCCCAGATGGGTCTGAGGGTGGGCCTGGAGCGAAAGGGAGGGCCCGACTCTTCGGGTGACATTCTTTGGGTGGCTGCTGCGATGATAAAGAGGAACTCTGGCGGGTGACGTTGCCGATCAGGCCCTTCCTGGCAGGAAGTCCTCTCGTCACAGCGAGGAGGAAGCCAAAAGAGGGACAGCACGGGCTGTACTGACCGCAAGCAAATCCTTGTCCTCCAGCACGGGGCTAAAGGCTCGTGGTGACCCGCTCTGTGGAAGCGGGCGGTAGCAAAATGAGGCCGTCTTCATGGAAAAATGCTCTGGAAAAATGTAGAATTGTGCAGGCAGCCCCAGATGTACCAGTGCTCCCAGCCTGGGAACAGGCAGCAAAGCCACGCTGGCTGTATCCGACTGAAGAAAAACACGTCCTCTATGGACAGGGTCCTGGCCCTGGCTTTCTGCTGACACTGAGCACTCATCTGACCTTCTGCTGAGCTGGTTCAGGGAGCTAAACTGGCTGAAATGTGACCCTCCCCCCCAAAAAAGTGATTAGTTCTGACCACAGCTGGTGTTAACCAGCCCTGGTGGTAGGGAGGGAATGGACTGGGTGCTGGGGGTGGTGGAGGAAGGGCAGAAACCACAGCAGCCTGACTTGGGTCAATTAAAACTTGTGGAATTTCACCCTAAGGCTCCAGTGGGTTTTAGTGTAAGCAGTGCAGTGGCCTCGGCTTCTCGATGTGGCACGGGGAGAAATTGCACCTACGGAGCAGTAAGGGGAAAGGAATGAGGGAAGGTGCCCGCAGATGAGAAGGGCCTAAACTTCTAAAGAAACACACCACTTGGTAATTACTAGAACTAAGCACATTTCAAATGTCACTGCCTCTTGCACTGTCACTGTGTATTCATTTTGAGAAAAAACAATGTGCTGGGCTTGCATTCTCTCCCCTCTTTTCATGAATCTGCTAACGTATTCAGAAAAGATCTGTTTTGAAAGCCCATATTAGAGGTGTATTAATTTTGAACTCGTCAGAATGAATGCTTAGTCGTGGAAACAGTTCTACAAGTTTGTCTGCGTCACAAATGAAACTAAAACCATCATGCTGGCCGTAAATGTGCTCTATTTTGATTAAACTTGGGTTGTTTCCAGCTGAACTCAGGCATGGGTTTATTGGGGGCACACTCTTCCCTATTCATCTTCCTGATTTTGCTGTTTGTAACTATACATTTTTAAAATGTAGATGATGTTTAAAGAAAATAATCTAATCCAGACTATACCTGATATGAAATAAACTTATTTTGGTCCTCCTCAGCTTCAGACAAACCCTATAGATGTGGTCTGGCTGCCGACCCTGTGGATTCACTGCATCCATTTGAAGCAGACACCCCTATCACTCAGAGTTTGCATATTTCAGCTAAAGATTCATGACTCCAGGAGGGAATAATCTGAGGTGAACATCACTTCGTATAAATCTGAATATATTCCATATCACTGTCAGCAATATGCAGATGGCTCAGAAAATTTAGAAGAGAGACTGTGCTTGCTGAGAAATGTCTTGCTTCTTTGGCTCTGAGGCCAATAATGACTGCATTTGCCCATATTCTCATTTAGTTAGATTTCCAAAATTGGGTCCTCAAGGATTCGAGTCCTTATTTTACCCCATGCAGGAGCCTTTGACTTCCTGTGGATGCTGTAGAAATGCAGGCTCCCACTGGAATCAGTGTGAGCAGAGGGTGCCCAACCTCCTGATACATCAAGCAGGTTCTTGCTTGGCTGCTTAATAACGAGTTAAATGCTGAGCATTAAACACCTTCATTAGATGATGCTAGTCTATTTTTGAATTGATTCCTTTGAAGACCTATAGGTTAGGAGTGGGAAGGGAAATTGGTAATGGAGCAAAAATGACTGTGATTTAGAGATTGAATTGCATGCAGCTAGAGCCATGCATCAGGATAATGAGATTCAGTCTTGTTTGGTTACAAGCACTGGAGACAGAAGCAGAAAATGTGATCCTCCAAGCCAGCTCTCAGGAAATGAGAAACAATAGAGTGAGGAAATCAAATTTCAAACTGCAGGGATATATTTATCGAGTTTTCCTTAGAATTTTTTTGCAGAGCTTTTTGGCATTCTCCGTGCAGCTTTTTTTTCTGTATTTTTTTTTCGGTCAGCCGACATATGGCTGGAGGATTAGATCACTGTAAAGCACTGTTGTTTGTGACCTATTTGTTAATGCGGGGCTGGGGTCACCGAGAAGAGACGAATGTACTTGTCATTGTTCAGTGCTTCTCAAGTGCTGTTCCTGTTGTCAGTCACACTGTGGCCAGACATTTGGAACAAACTCATTAGCTAATTAGTAGGTGTGCTCAGCCCCACGTGGCGGCAGTTGCTGTGTGGGCGATATTCACATTATGGCTGTGGAACAGGCCCTCCTGGGGCTTCCTGGCAGCCGCTCTTTGCTAGGTTAGCTAGGAGGGCAGCTGTGGCCGGGCAGAGCTGGGAGAGGCTGTGCCTGCCTCGTCTCTGCTGGAAGAGTCTCCTGCATACCGGGCATCACGCTGCAGCCCCTCACGTTATCCTTGTGCTCCTTGTGGCGTGGAGGCCCCTTTCCTCCCACTTGTTGGGTTCGCTGCCTCCATCTGCCTTCTCCACGTGGGCTGCTCTGCTGCCGAAGCAGTTCCTGGGGAGAAGCCATGGTTATCGGCTTCTGATGCTGAAGTCATGTTGCAATAATGGCCTTGAACTCTGGCTCTGCCAACACAACTGAAACGTGCTGTGAACAACCTGATAGAGTGTCATGGGTCAACATCCAAGGCGTGGTACAGCCTGTTCAGAGGACAGAACTGGGGAGGAAAGCTTGCTACGCTAGCACCTGGGTTTAAACTCACAGGACAAGTGGCAGTGACCTGCTGTGGCTGATATGCAAGAAGGGCCCCATATCCACTGCAGCAAGTCTGTGCCCGCTGTGGGTGTCCTCAGGAGACCGCCAGAAGGGATGGTCCCATTGCAGCCTGGGCAAATCTCTCCTGGTGCAGCTGTATTGATTTGGGCAACACGGCCAGCCTAGCACAAACACCGCGATTTAAGGTGTTAACACAAGCGTAATAAAAAAGAGCTTAGTTTTACTTGGGTGGCTTGTTTTGCCCATGCTGAGTGACTTGATCTGGTTGATAGAAAATAGTTTTGTTGATACAGGTGTGCCAGCTGTAGGAGTTCTTTGCTGGGTTCGTTTATTTGTACACTTGCTCTGTGGACAGAACACAAGACATGCCTGGGATGGAGCTGGAAGCGGGGAAGAAGCTCCCACCTGTTTTTGAGAGTTGTCTGTCCAGAGGAGAGCAGGTAGGCAGGAGAGAAGGCAGCAGGAATACTTTTATTCTGCACATGTTATTTTAAACAAGAGCTTTTTTCTTGTTCTTTAGAGCTGTCAGCACCTAATCATTAGGATTAATGAACATGCACTGAAACATTAGTTTTCCACCATTGCCGTTTCTTCTGAAGACAAAAAGAGGGAAGTATTCTTTCAGCTCCTGCTGATAGTGTCAGATGCTTGCAGATGCTTTATTTTTTCACCCAGAATCTCATTCTGCTTAGCTCTCCTAGCTCAAGGTTAACAGCTAAGCCACTATTGCAGCTAGCTGCAGAAGACTTGGCTTCCCAGCTACCAGATGGTATTCAAAGCACTTGGACTCGCAGCATTTCTAAAACAAGTTCTTTTTAACGCAGCTTACTCTGCTTTGCTGCAGTCCATGTTCTTCAGTATTTAAACCTCGATCCTTCTCAGATTGAGGTCAGGGGGAATTTTGCTACCAGCTCTGAGGACAGAAGGGCTGGGCTCTAAGTTTGGAGTGTGCGGCCTGGCCTTTTTTGATTTGAAAAGCACAGCCTTACACGCTGGATTTTGCTCTGTTTCCCTTTGTTTTATTGTGTTTTAATAAGGCAAGATTCCTCAGAAATTTGGGTTTTAAATGACCAGTAGTGCTACCT